ACTCACCACAAATGCCGTACACGCGCATCACTGGCGACGGCCTTCGGCAGCACGCCGCGACCTGGGTCTCCTGACTCAAAGAGAAAGGGAAATATAAATCTTGCATACAAGCTGATCTCTTCACTTCAATAGTTGCATAGGCTGATTACCCAATGAAATAACAGTTCTGGACAAACGTCGGAAGCGTGTAGCATCCTGAGCGTTGGTCAGACGGAGGGCTTAAGACTGCGCTCGCCTCGCACTTGCGCCAGCGTCCACCAGCGACCAACAGTATCTACCAGCGTCCATCAGCGTCCGCCAGCGACCATCAGCGTCTCGAGGGACTAGGAAAGTATGGATATCGATCTAAGTCCACCAGCGTCTACCAGCGACCAGCAGCACGGTATTGTGTAAAAGTGCGGTGCGGTAGCACACGCCACAATTTCATGACGCCTAATCCAGCTGTCTTCCCCCTCCTATTTCCCCACATTCGTCAGCAGTTTACTGCTCCACTACTTCCTCAATACTCTCTCCCCTCCTGGTGGCTAGTGGACGCTGGTAGACGCCGGTGTACGTCGGCAAACACGATCGGTATCTATATTTTTCTATTCGCTGATGGTGATGGACGGTCAAAGCGCTGGTGAGCGGTGGTTCGCTGGTGGGCGCTGCCGCAAAGTATGAACGCAGACTCACCCTGTTTTTCTTCACGCACTTTGATAGATGGAAAAGTTTTGGCTGCTCTCAACGCCTTTTGAACACCGTGATCTGTGAAAATGCGGTGCCATTATGACCCCTCTCAGAATTTCCTCATGTTTTAGGACCTCCTTCTCCTACCCTCCCTATATTCCTCCAATCTTTTCAAAGGAATTTCACAGTTCTCTCCGAAAATCTGCTGTTTAGTGTGTATGGTGAGAGGGAGGTCTAAATACAAACAATTTAGAAGCTCATCTTGGAGCCGAATCGAAGCAGTCACGGGTGCAATAATCAATTTTGGTAGGAAACAACTTTTTTTTCTGGGAAGAGTGACGACTGCTTTCAACTATAAGAAACGGTGTGACAATGTGATCGTTCCTTGATGCCCACGTGCTGTTGATCACTCGCGGTGAGCTATTGTAAAACAGTTGTCCACTTTGTTTATAAGGTTTGTTATGAATATTCACGCTTCGAGAGATTGATATGCTTTTAACAGCTGTAAAACGCTCATTAAGTAGAGTTCTTTACAGTCTACAAAGCTATAGAATGACCACAGAATTACTACCTAGGTTACACGGGTTACGCCATGTGACGTCCTAGGGCTCTTCTGGCGAAATTGAACAGTCTAGTCTTTGATTCTTCCATAAAACATGAGCGCAATTCGGCGATTGGGGGGGGAGGGGGTTTCGTTGCTACACTAGTTCCGGCTTACAAGTCTCATTCTGGTGAACTTGTGAGCTTTTGTGAAGCTGGAGCAAGCTCGTCAAGCCACCATGGTAAAATCCTGTCAACTTAGGAGAAGAATCTCTAGATGAGTTGACACGTCGTTGGGAAGTAGCAAAAGTGCAAAATGTCCCCCCCCCTCCGTCGTCAAACTGCCCCAAACGTGAAGTAACACATCAGACAGAATCTGCCGGTCATACAAATCATATCCGCGCGAACTAACATAAGGGGAACGTCGGGGGTTTAGCTGAAGTTGCGGTTGTATTTAAAGCAGAAACTGCGCAGCTCTGTGTGCTCATGCTTTCTAGCTTTCTGTTGCCTCTTATCTAAACCGCAATACACACCCCATCCATAGCTACTAAGTCTGTGGTCCGTTCTGTGTCGTGGCTTCACTCATCCAAAAGATGAAGTGGGAGTGGCTCCGTACTTCATTTGGACGGGTGGCGGTTGCGCTTTTTTTTGGGGGGGGGGGGGGCAGTGCTACTTTCGGATCTCCGTCCTCAAATGGGCTTATCCTAACGAAGAACGCATCTTACCCCACGCTCAGAGCACGCATTCACGCCCTCCCTATCTTCTGGATCCCTTCAATGTTCTCTTCACTTCTGATGGAGTCAAATGGACCCTAGAGCATTTTCTCCCTCTTTTTTTTCTCTTCCTACTACTTTTCTGTTACTCTTCGTTCTATTGAACATTTTCAGCACAGTGATCTCCTCAGTTACTCACAGTTCTTTTTTCTACGCAGCGAATTTAATCAAAAAATGCCATGTAGAGGTCCACAGTTCAATATTCAACGAACTAAAGCAAGCTTATGTTTGATACCTCCACTATAAAAAAGTATTGACTACCTGAACAGCCGGCAATACTCGCTGGATTGCGTCTTCACCTTCATTTTGAAATAAATCTCCGAGATTACGAATCGCCGATAGTTTGTGTACCTCTTTACCTTCTCTGAAAATAAAATGTGGGTCGATTAGTCAGTCCAAGACATGGGCTAAGCATAGAAGGTGATAATGGGAGGGAGGAGGATACAGTATTATCGCGACAAGCCGGGAACCCATTGAATGAGCGACTTTCACGAGTTTCAAAATGCCCCCCCCCCAAGTTTATTATGCATCGTACAGCCTGTGTCAAAGGGATTTTCTACCTTATGGCCAGAGGTATGACCAGCAAGCCCTTTGGCACACAGGCGTGGCAACTTCCGTGGCTACAAAATTTTTCCCAAAGTCAGTGGTTTCGACCAGTTACCTATTCCTGAAAAGCTCATATCCCCACGGTTCTGAAGACCACCAAGCCCAGGTTTGACGCAAAAAGAGCATCATCAAGGAGTTGGGGAAATGGAATTAGTACTGTTGCAGATGTGTTCAGCATCGGGGAGCCTTCTGAATGTTTTGAAGAAGCTTCTACTTTGACAGAGAATTTTTGAAGACCTTTCGAACGTGCCCCCGATTTTTTTGTGGCTCGAGGGCAATGTGGTTGCCACGTTCCTATCGAAAGTAAGAGAGTAGAACAACTCAACCAGACTTACAAATGGGCAATGGCTGTTTCTATCGGCCCTCGATTGATGTCGTCAAACTCCGGATCTTCAGCCATTTTGAACAGCTTCTCCCAGTCTAGACCATTTGAGACTGGCCGATCCTCCAGATTTGCTTCCACAACCACCTTTAAATCGACAATTTTCACTACTAATAAACTTCTCAGCTGAAACCATCCTTTGACGCCAGACTCTAGGGTTAGGTGGCCCGAAATTATAATTACAGAGAGGTTTTCAGGCCAAAAAAGAGCTTTTGCTAGTCAAAGGAGCCGAAGCCAGCGATGGGCAGTTTGATTCGGAAAAGCAAATTATTAAAAGTTATGAAAATAGAAAGGGCATAACCCTCGCTTACCTCAACCATGGTGATAGTGTGGCGAAACTCGACAAGTGCTGCTCAATTTGATGGGTTCCTCTGAAAAGTATGGGTTCGGAATTGAGAATTAGCTACAATCGTTAACGGAGTGAGCAGTTCAGGATGTGAATTTACGATGACAAACAAAATATTTTTGAGAATCATTATTCAAGTGTATAGCGGGGTTTGGGACCATTAACGGAGTGGTCGGCGACAGTCAAAGGAATGACTGACGAACGACTATGACGATTAGTGACTTTATAACATGACGAAGAAAAACACTTGTCAAAAGCGAGTTCAATACTATAATCGCATGCGCGGATCAATGGGCGGAGATTTCCAAGTATCCTGTTTCCTCATTGGTGCGCCTGTCCTTTCTAACCAGACCATAAAGAGTATGCGCACATCAATGAAGAACGAATTTCGATCATTTCCGCTATCTAACGGATTGGGTTTTTAAGACAAAATCAGCTGATTTTTCGACGGGCAAGTGGGCGCAAACAAGTTATTTATGTTAAGCGCAGCAAAACGCTATTTGATCGACGGGGGGGGAATTGTGTACTCCATTGCCATTCCTTTAGTTGCGGTTTACGAAATCTCACCCTGGTAAAACTCAGTGAACCCCTTCGTGATCTGACTGCCACAGATTCGTCTAGCCACCATCCTAAAACGTGTCAACTCGAGAAAAGGCTACCTAGATGGGTCGGCACATCTATGGAAAGCAGAATGCCCCCCGTCGACAAACTGCGCCGCGCAGCAATGCAGATTTCAGTATATTGAGTCTTGTTTGATGAGTATTTTGGCACTATGCAATAATTTTAATATTCAACTTGATACTTGCTTTCTTTATTTCCCTCAGAGCCTAAAAGGCCTGAAGCAACTCACGATTACCCGAGCAAACGTCTCTGCTGGCCTACAGAACTTCTGGATCAGTGCTGGTAATCACATAAACGTCACTGCTCTTTGTCGCACACAACAAGCATGCTAAGTCATAAGAAAACTCCCATCGTCTTTCCGAGTTGCATAGCGGTTCTACATAATCAAATCCCCTGATCAGAAAGAACCGCTATGCAACTCGGAATTGTCATAAGAGGCACAGTCTACTCTAATCGTATGGGCGGAGACAACCAAACTTCCTAATTGGTTCTCGCCTTGCTCTGAGAAGGTGAGGAGGAGCAGAAAAGGTGCAGTGGCCGAATCGACTTCATTCATAAAATATCAGCGTGAGCTGTCGTCTAAAAGCACTTCTTGTGATTGCACATTGTGGGTGGCCCACTTGAAGGCTCATTTTGCGATGACTTGTAAAAATAGAAAGTCCTCGTGCAGGAATGCGGTGTGTACCGTTGCAGACACCTCTGTACAAGTTTCACGTCAGAAGAACTGCAAGGTGGTAAGTTAAGGCGCTGAAGTGACTCCCCGCCTCGCTAGATACCGCATCCCTCCTCTTAGCCGTTTGCATGCTATTTTGCTGCAAAATAAGGGCCTCATTTAATTTGGCCACCTCTACTTTTTTGCGGGCGAGTCACGTAGCACATACGCTTTCGTTCCTACCTACATACTCTGAACGGCGAACTTTTCTACGGCTTATCACGAAGTCTGCCTTCGAGAAAGGAATGTGTGTGTGTGCATTAGTTGACCTAGCTCTGAAGAAGGATAGGGAGAAGCCTCAGAAAGCACCCTGAATAAAGCCCTCATCAACCGTTCTAGCAGGTTCCTAAGAACCGTTGGAACACGCTGGGAAAAACTATACAAGAGGGGGAGAAGGTGCACCAAGGAGACGTGAGACACCCACACTGGGTGGCGTCACTGATGCACACGAGGAACCACTTAAGCAATGTACGCATAACCAGGGCACGTCCTACCGTGCGCCGATGTGAAAAATGCTGAAACCTACAACCAGTATTCCTCCCCTGCTACAACCGCCTAACCTCCCCCCCCCCCCTCCTTCAACCTTTCATCTTACCCTTCGGCCTTGCTGAAATTTCCCACTTCCTACCACTTTTCTGGACGAGCTGGGTAGGACGCGAAAGAGCGAGAAAAGTCAACAACCAAAGACATTGTTCCCAAGGGCAAAAACGATCCTCTTCTTTCCAGCGACCAAATACGGACCTCCGCCGTGTGGGATTTCCTTGGTGCATCGTAACGCTGGCGTTCCTTACCTTACAGCATGTCCGAGCGGAGCTTCTTTCGGCTTGTCCACTGAGCGCCACTGTCTATATCTCACCGGGTTGTTGATCCTCAAAAGGTAATCGCGAAACGTACCTTCAAACAGGTATGAAAAGATCACAAAAAAAACTGAACTGTGCTCGAGATCCCTCCATGCTAGTTTATCACCAAGACGTAAAATGCGTATGAATTCGCTATTTTCTCCGTTTCCTCGTTCAAATTGCCGAATTCCACGTTTTTTTGGATGTTCGATAACAACGGAGTACCAGATGTTTGACAAACTTCAGGATTTAAAGGGTCATACGAAATACCGAGGAGGAAACGAGAGATGTCACAGAAGCATCGCAACATACGAGATGAAAGCGAAAACATTTCCGAGTTGATTTTTTGCAAGGTTTCAACAACGCCAACTGTCGACTTTGTAGTGATGAACGCCAGAATTCCTCGGTTAAATTCGCAGCAAACTACCCAGTGCGAGTCATTTAACCTAGTGGTGAATGAAGATAAATAGTTCAACTCTGACCAAGCGATCAGAGATTTATATTCGTTCAACTTCTACCAGTTTTCAGAAAATAGTGCAATTTTCATTGAGAACATGACTGAGCGAAGAAAAGAATCGCTGACATAGAAAAAGCGGATAGTCCAAGGAAGAGCCATGGTGACCAGTAAACGGAACAAGCTTCCACTAAGAGACCAACGATTGTAACTGAACGGTCAGATTTTCCTTGGAAGGGGCTTTAACCTTTGGGAGCAATTTATTCTGAAAATTTCAACAACATCAATCGGCCAAAAGGAGCACCAAAGCAAAGTAATTCATTACTGAAAAGCCTTCGATAGTGCGTCAATTAGGACCCCCTTATACATAAATACTTAGGGGGAGATGGTGAAGTGGCAAAAGGCACGCTCAACACATGCACGGACCGGTGATCAAATCCAGTATCGGCTCCCGCGCAGGTGAACCAAGCCTTCTACCCTCAGAGGACGCTAAGTTGGTAATGGATCCGTCTAAGACGGTAAGAAAACTGACTTTTCTATGAGGTTAGTTATTGCAAAAGCCGCATTCAAGCAGCCACTACGATTGAATGGAAGTAAAATGCGTGACCCAATCCAAAAGCGGGATTGATAGACGGTACTGACTTTCATTTATCCGTTGCATAGTTAATGAAACTAAATGAGATACCCTTGCGTCGTATGAGCTTGCGCCGCACCAGGGAAGTCGCTAAATTAAGACTTCTCAAGCAAAAGACTATTCAAAATTTCCTGAAGCCGAAAACACTTATTTCAAAAAGATTCCTAATTATTCAAAAATAGAATGGTACTAACCATAAGCTTCATTAGACTCCTTCACTTCTCCTTCACTTCCACTGTTGTGGATACTTATAGATGCAGTGAAGTCGTTTTTTTGGCAGCGCGGGTCGTAAATTTTCTGGTCTTTATGAGCAGCAACCACTTGAAGGTCACACGGGTTGCGAGACGACTCCGGCGAATTGTGGAGTGGGCGAACCTAGCAAGAAAAACGGCTCGGACCTCCCACCCTGACTACTTGCTTTGTTGCTGAGAATGAGACTAGAACTACTCACTTAAGGTGAACGAACCGGTGAAGGCTAGCCCCTTCTTTGACCAGGAATGAACGCCAAACGTGCCTTTAAAGGCAGTTTAAGACGATAAATCTCCCAAGACGGGTAGGATTGATACGCCTGGCAAGACGGAATTCCGCGACCCTGAGCGGGCGCTGCATAATGCCTTTTCCAAGGAGGTGCCCATATCAAGCCACAACTTTACGTCCCAAACGCCCGCCACGCCCGCCCGCCCACAAATGGACGACCGTTCCTGACGCTCGTATTCATTCATTTGCTAAGCAAATTATGAAAGCGAAGAAACGTGCCGTGATGTGCAGCGCCAGTAGGATTATGTAGTACACATATGCAGGCGTACCATTCGGGTAGCGGGCTATTGACAAAATGCCCTATGACCTACCCACAGAGAAAGCTGCTTTGTTCGCTAGTGGATTTTGCCAGTGAAAGAAATACATGAAAGGAATCGTCAGTAACGCCCGAAGTACGCCAGATTTCGCGCCAACGCAAACTGAGAGAACAATAATCTATTTGGATACTCAAGCGTGCTAGAGAAAGCCAGCCGATTAGATTATGCAAATGAGCAAACAGCCAGCGCGCGACATCTAGCCACTTCTGGGCGGAGTCGCTGAGAAATGATGTGCTTTACCGCCAACACCTTACATATTCGGACGTGAAGCTTATAAAGGGTTGATGGCTGCAGTCCACACTATCTCACCTTATGATGAGCTTAGACAGTTGGAACAGATCAATGCCTTCAGGACAAACCCAAATCTATCGAGTATCACTCAGGAAACGAACAGATTGAAACAGGCTTCACTCAGTCTTTTATCCAACGAAACCAACAAAACTAATAGGTTAGAAGGTACAATCGTAAGACGAAGAGCAAGGGCTTGTGGCTGCAGGCTGGTGGCTGAACAAACGGATGTAGGAGGGTGAAATATGAACGAAGCCGAAATAAACGGACACATGTGGTGGATGACGTTTTGTTTTTGAGTTTTCGGCCATCGGAATGCTGGGGGAGGTACAACCCATCGATAGCTACTGGTATGCTAGTGTAAACCCATAACTATAGAGAAATATGCACTACTGGGCAACAAGGTTTGAGAGGTTTGAGCAGTGAATGAGAACTGATAGAGTACTGCCTTCTCACCTCAAGTGTTTACTTTTCGAAATCACTTGAAGCACGTAAGAGCAAACAGATGGTGAGAAAGCACGCCCCCATAAACTGTTGGAATTACTTAACTCTTTACGCCTCCCATAATTCAG